GTACTTGGTAAGACTTTCTTATGAAGGCTCGACTTGAATTTTCCTTGTTAATAATCGCTGACCGACTATTTATTCTATCTTATTCGTTGCTTTCCTGTCTAGTCGTTTCACTCTCAGTAAAATTGCCGGCAGAATTCAAGATTAACATCTTAACTCAATTGACGACTTATTTGACTCAAGAATCCCATATGCCCATTGCAAAGCTCTTTTAAGCATCCCTATGTTATCCATCATCTTAGCCTTAAAGATCTGATTTGAAATCGCAGGTCAATTTTGTCATCGGTCATAAACAAGCTTTGTTATGATTTGCATTATAAGCCCTTTACTTGAAGGGAATGATGTTAAAAATACGTTAAGCACATCCTAGTCGCATTGTCAAATCAAACAACTAAGTTGTGCATGTAAGTATGTAAAAAAACTGAGCTTAAAAGTTGTGCAGTTTTCTTACTACTGTATGCCTAAGCAACTAGTCTGAGCCACAGAAGGCCTCGAAAGGTCAAACCATCAAAGCTTTATTTCTACCCATTTTGAAAGAGCTAAGTCGCTCCTGCGATTACCCCCTACCATTATAATAAAACGATATTCTGTCCAAGCCATTTTTCTTTAAATCCTTATCATTTACTTCAGATAAAGATATAAGGACATCTGAGGTGTCAAGTTGAGAATCCAGACTTTACTGGCTTGTCTTGAGTAGCATGGATATGGTGACAACGATCTGAACCAGGTAGATAAGAAACGGGTCCTACGGCACAAGAGGGAGCCTCTGATAGAACCTTGAGGAAGAGGATTGTGGACTAGACCGCAGCCTCGTCTCAACTCTCCCAGCACAGTGAGGGGATGCGGGAGCCAACTGGGAGTTTGAATAGGTCTCACTAAATTTGTTGAAAAAGTGTACACTAAACCAGATTTAAAGAAGTAAGTAAGCGATTGTGATAGTGAATGGGTGTTATGATGGTATAGGATAAGTGAATACACCGGGACAGGAGATATGCCATAACTGTTTAGCAGACAATTCATCTAAGGATCGACTTCACTTGTCTGTTTGAAGAGTTGTTATATTGTGCGAAGAGTGGCAAGACTCAGTGACGCTGCCGGTAAATATTTTGGGAATGTACCAAATCTATAGTGCGACCGGAAATTATTATGTATACTATGGACTCTCTATGTCTTCCTGCCAATATGACCAAATTACGGAAACGAGATATATGAATCGTTGACTATCATTTTTTTATCACTTGAAAACAGGAATCTGAAATATTTTTAAAGACAATTTTAACTTTCCATTACAATTAATGTTAGAATCTTCTACTTTCTTTTCCATAGGAATACGTTCTTCTGTCTTGTCAGAAGATTTCTCACAATCTTCCCGGCCTCGGTGTGCCCATCCACATAAACCCGAAAACTCGTCATTACCGCTTTTCGCGAAGGCTGGCTAGAAAAGCGACATCGTCTTTAAAATCGAAGGGAACAAATGCTCCATTGACAGTTGGTAATAAAGTGGCATCAGGTCCACAACATCGCTTATCTAGCCAGTCCTATTCAGAAGTGTCTATAGAGGCATTAAGTGAAGAGTCTGATGATGGAGAGATTGAGCTTGAAGAAGAAAGCGAAAGTGATGAGTTCTCGCTAAAAACGGCAGGGCAGATAACTGGCGGCGGATTCGCTGACAAGCCAGGCAAGAACGCCGATCCTTATCATACATGCTATGCTTTAAGCGGCCTTAGCATTGCACAGCGTTCTCCCAGATTCACGACTATCCTGTCTCCTAGTTCGTCCGGACCTGTCGGCCTTACCAGCGACAATCAGTCAGATCAGATAAAAGAGCGTGCCAGAGATGCGGCCGATTTAGTAGGGCCCCAAACTTCGGCACTTCGAATGCCTTTGGTATCAGTTTGTCTCTCGCGTCTCGGCTCGGCTGTACAAGTACCGTTTGCTGAAGTTGCCGGAGACCTGTCAACTAACTTGCTAACTGATATCGATCCTCTGCACAATATCACACAAGATGGATTCGCTTTCACTTTGGCCTACTTTTCCCCTTCTCAAGCACACCCTATTTGTTGGGGTGACGAAACTGTAATTGATGCAACCGGTGTCTAAGTGACAATCAAAATAAATTGTTAATTCTATCAAAACAAGCATTGGCTTCCCACTTAAGAACTCTTGCTTCATATATTCACTAACATATTCTATAACTGCTTGCTCTATTATGGATTTCAACCGATAATGAAAGCTGTCATAACTAGATTGATTGAATGATTGGCTTCACTTATCTCTGGCGAATTGTAGTGTAGTGCTCACTGACGATACCGACTACGATACTGGCGAAACGTCTGGGGATGTACCACGTCCACGGTCCGACTGAAAATTATCATGCATACCATGGACTCCGGACAAAGTGTGTTCCTCTAGATGTTCCTGCTAATATGACCCAGTTGCGAAAACAAGGTTAAGCAACTTCCATATAATTAGATTGGTTTGTCCCAATCCATAAAAAATATCATGGTAATTTTCCCGATGATAGATTTAACAATTTATTTGTTAAGGCCAGCACATTTTCGGGGAGGGGAAATCACTATTATGTGCCAACGATGAGTAATGAGCGATGTAAGTCCGCCTTAATTTAGTCCAATACTGAGATCAGTCCGACCCTGAGCCCAATTGCTAGAAAGTTGAAATAAAAAAATCAGCTGCAACATTAATTTCAGCTCCTTCGGTCTTGAAACGTATTCTGACAGACATATTTAATATCCCATCTGAGATTACTTATTTGCGTCCTGTTCGCAAAATATCCTGTTACTTTAGATTTTAAATTTA